TTTCTTCTCTCTCTCTCTCTCTCTCTGTCTCTCGTTTAATCGTCTATTACGGATTCTTTCGTTAGATCGCGAGCGGATATCGCTCGTGGAACGTGTACTTACGCGCCGCTCTCGCCGCGCGACCGCATTAGTCGACTAATTTATCTGCGAGCGATGCCGCTCATAATACGGCGCACGATCGAGCGGGAGAACTTATCAGGTAGTTCCCATCAAATTGTGGGTAAACATGGTAAATTGTTTCTGAATCGTGAATTCGCAAAAATCGAGGTAAGGATACGCGGCGCTCTTGCGATTATCGGCTTCGTCGCGCGAGTTACGAGCACAGATTTCTTTTCACTTCCAAGGTAAAACGTCAAAATTAATACTCGTGTGAATGTACGACCGGGTCGGTATTTTCCTTTCAATAGGCAACGAGAGAGGCCTCCATTTTTTCCGGATCAATGATTTTATCGATTGATCTGTCTTACAAAAGTGGAGAGGGCGCTATAAATATACAGAATATCTCGAAATTAGACAGGCCAGGTTTCGGTCTTATAAAGGAGACCAAGTAATTTTCGTTAATAAACCTAACGTCTGTTGTAAATAATTCACTCTAATGCGCGAACGGCTCGTTTATGAACACGGATTTGTTGAGTGAATTTTTAGTTTTGCCGTCCTTTATGAGCATCCGAAGTTTGTCGACCTAATTTCGCGTGACAGCCTGTATAAATACGTTCTCACTGTATAAATTCGAACTTTCCATTCCGTCTAATCTCTCTAGCGTTCGCCGTTGACAAAACAAAAAAAAAGTGAACCCAAAAAGGGGGCAATTTCGATTCGTGGCAACGTCTCTTGATGGTAACTCTCGAACTGGTCGCGACCGGTACTAAACGCGATCGCACTAGTCGCGCGTAACGGAGCGCGCACGCGCATGCGTCGCGAAAAATCCGCCGATAAAGCTGGAATTATTACGCGGCGATGCGGCGCGAGGGCGACCGATAAACTCTCCTCGCAACGTGCGTTTGAGGCAGCACGGGCGGTATATCGGGAGCGATGAAATTTAACGTATCAGCGTTCGCACTTAGCGGCCTAATGCGAATTCCGCGGCGATAGGCCGGCTGATTTACGCCGGTTCCCGGCGCCGCGTCGGCCTGCGCCGGCCGCTGAAAATACACGCGGGATTTCCGCGTGCGATACAGAGAGAGGGAGACACAGAGGGGCCGCGCGCGCACCAAACGAAAACGAGGGGGACAGGCAGGCAAGTAAAGGTACGTCGTACGCTACGTAAATCACGCAGTGAAAGCCGCTTAGTTTCGGCGGTAGATACATCTCGCGCGCCGCGTTTACCACTAATGAGACACTTGCCTGACAGACAAGGGGAGGGGGACCCGCCGGTTTCTTATCGCACGCATCATAAACGTTCGTTCTGTCTGCCAGTGGACAGACCCGGCCTCCTCGCGTCCTCGTTGTCGCCTCCGCGCTGATTGGACTTAAATCGCGGTAGACAATGGTGGCGCTGGCAATGGTCGATGAAATTTCGCGATATCGCACTTTCCCCGTCGCCTCCTCGATTTTCTTGATTTCTCGCCGCTCTATCTTGCCTATCCCAACCCGTTCTGCGTCTTCTAGGTGATTCGATAATTTAGCGTCCGGAGACGCTGATCTAGATTCCCCTTCCGTAATTACATTAAATCGCGTTTAAGTGGCGCTCGTGGCCCCACACGTCTGACGTGGAAGAAAAGCACTAAAGCTGACACACACACATACATATATATATATATACATTGGAAAATGGACATACCCATGTTTCTCGGCTATAAAATACCGAACTCTGTCGAACATGAACTTCATCTATTGCGTGCAATAGAAAGAGCTGCAGTAGCAGTTTGCAAGCGCGTTCGATTATACATTATTAGCGTTAGTTGATTTTTCGATATGCTGAGTTCCCCTCGAGTTGTATTCTGGTAAATTTGTCCCCTCGAGATGTGTTCTGGTAAATTTTTCTGTGACAAATCAGCGGGAAGTAACTTATTGAACAATGTGGGGAAATTAGCGGTGCGCGCGTTTCCTACACTTTCTATCCTAATGACTGCAGAAAATAACGGAATGATATACGTTGTATGCTGACAAGGATATGTGTCTATTATATGTGCACTATATATATTTGTCCCTCTGGGACAGTCAGTCTTCAATGTACTCTTTCGACGGCTAATGGCAGAATTGTGTTCGTCCACCACGTGGTGTCTCTCGGCTTCGGCACCGCGGTTGCTGGGCATAGTCCGCGAGCTGAGATCAGTTGGCGCGAAGACGGCGTAAAAAAATCTTCGTAACCGCGGTGTTTGTTCTACGTGATTCGCGAAACACGTATTGTCAGCGTAGGAGTTAACGAGCTTGCGGAAACTTGCGCACTTTGCAATGATCTACCGCTGATTACACGACGTCCAGATACGCACAGATTCGCGGATCGTGGGGGGGAGAGTTTGCTCCGTGCGACACGTCGGCCGGATTTATCCTCGCGTCGTTAGTTGCGTTACATTTCTTCGGAGAACTTTTAGCCCTAAGTATAATAAACCCGCTCGTCCTCTTCGTAACTGAATATACCCGGTATCTGGGCCAGTTCCTGTTGCCGTCGCGTTCTTACATCGCGTTGTTCAATGAACACGCAACGAGTCGCTGGCACGTGGCACGCGACACATGCTACATCCGCCTTAATGAAACGGCGGGATTGATGCCAGGTGTAGAAGTTTCTACGACTGGAGTGTCGCCTATTGCCGACCTGGCTCCGTTGGGATTAAATCGCCATCGATATCTCTCTGGAGTGGTCGTTATTCTCTCGGTTCTCGCGTGTGTGCCTCGCCTGCGACATTCCGATAGAGAACTGCGATTCGAAATATTTCCGCGAGAAAAATCCATCGTTCGACGAAGGTAGAAGTTAATGTAATATTTCAGCGCGAGTAATCTGATTTATCCAAATACGAATTGTTCGGGCGTGAAATTAAGAGTTACCTCGGAAATATACTGTAATAATAACAATAATAATAATAATACGGAGAAAATATTATAGTTAAAATTTACCACATAATTTTGTAATACTGGACCGGAATTATGACTGAAGTTATGATGTGTGTTGCAATCTTTAATGATGTACATCATATAGCTTGTATTACGTCCGATAAAGCATCATTATTATTATTATCATTATTACATCATGATTTCACTCATAAATTCCAGTATTATCCAGCGTGAAAATATTTCGCGGTAATTTTTACTACAATATATCTTCCCCACGTGCAATATGTAAAAAGCAAAAAAAGGGCAAGATACATCCGATGAAGATGTTTTCCAGCTCTTCTCTAGATTACATGGTCGGCGTCGCTGTTTCTCTCCTCCGCGAGTTAATTAGTATCGCAACGACGAGCCGACGAATCGTCGCCGTCGGACAGTCTCGACTCTCTCGGCCGACCGGCTTCATTTAGCGAAGTTTCATTTCCTCGCGGAATGCAGTCGTGTGTATACGCGCGCGCCTCGATAATGAAAATCGCGAACGATCGAACGAGTCTGTTCCATTTGCCACGCGCTTTTAATTACAGAGACACGAGGTATGCCTGTGCGCGCGCACGCTCTCTGTGTACCCGCTTGCCGCCCTTTATTTGCGCTATCCCACCGTCTAATTGCCTACACGACGAGCCGCGCGTAGCGAGGCCGACGTATGTGGGCGTTATTGCAAGGTGCCCTCTCTCTCTCACGAGAGAGAGAGAAAGAAGGTCTCGCACCTTCGGCGGTCTCTCTTCCCCTTCGAAGATGAGGAGATACGCGTGCCGTGAGGCCGGATATTAAATTAAACGATACGGTGTGTCGAGATGGCCTACGAGCACACATCGTGCGGTAGTGCCTCCGATATCGCCGGCAGTTAGCGCGCCGCGTCGATTGTGCCGTTTATCTGCCCCGTGAGAACGCGTTGTGTTCTGTGTAATTTAAGAAGATCGCTTCTCTCAGTAGAGATCTTCTATATATTTACTTAACAAATAAATAATAACTTGTCCTATCCGTTCGATAGATTAAAATTACGCCACCAACGATCCGCGATCCCGATTAGACATGGTCTAATTACCGTGTGTCGGCTCGATAGTTACTTCGCGGTGCGGTGATAATTACGCAGGTTCGGAGATTTTTCGATGAGAGAGTCCGAAACTTGGAGAACTTGTTCGATCTTAAATACCACCTCTCGAGAGAACGAGAGCGCGACGTTCTTTTTCAGCGGGGAGCGCGTTGAAGCGTCGTTTATGGTTTGCTGCAACGTGCGCGACTTTCCGACGTCGGACTCGCTCGCGAACACGCTCGTGTCGTAACTTCCTGGCGCGTAAAAGTGTACTTCAAGATGCAATCTTGGACATTAACACATTCCGCGCGAGATACTCCGCACCCTCTTTCGTCGCGTGAGGAATGCTTTGGCTCCGATTAAATTCCACCCGCATTCCTGCTCATCAGCGGGCGCTCCTCACCGGGTAAAGGCAGAGAGTGAGAGAGATAGAAAGAGAGAGAGGACAGTCACCAGCTGCTGACTGCACGTCCCCTCACAATTCTGGGTGTATCCTCACCACGTTGATTACCCTCTAATCAGCGCGATTAACGTACACTCTCCCCCGGCCTGTCGCGATTCTTCCTCCTTTCACATGCAATTTATGCAGCAGAACCGGATTAGCCCGACTCGCAATATTTCCGATTAATCGCTTCCGTGTCACCCTCCTTTTCAATTTGCCTCCTCGCTTCCATTAATCCAGACAAGACAATTATCCCTTAACCGATATTAATGCATAATCAGTACCGAGGGATGAACTTTCTCTCTCTCTCTCTTTCGCTCGCTCCTCCTTTTGCAAAATATTTGGGGAGCGTGCGAAGGATTAAAAAACGGACTCAGGTTCGTTTTTGCAGGGTCGTGCGACGCCGTCAGGGCAAAAATGACGGTGTTTAGCGGGTGATCGGACACGTGATAATAATACGATTCATTTGTCTGATCGCAGGAGAACGAGGCGGTGGTGCCAGAGGGCTGGCCTCTGACGTTAGGCGGCAGCGGCCTCCTCCTGCAGCTGGGTGAGCTCGAGGCCTCCGCGCTACGTCTCGGGGAATGTTACCTCTGCGTACGCAGCGCGGCTGCAACTGCGACTGCAACCACCTCGTCGGTCAGCGGCGTCACGGCCGCCGGTGAAGCCGCCGAGCAGAATACCGTTGAGGTGAGTCATGTTCTTTTTCGTTTTCCCCCATTCTTTCTCTCTCTCTGTCTTTCTTTCTCTTTCCTTGTTGCCGTGATGGGACCGCGCGTCGGTGACGTCGGAGAGAGGATGACACCTCCGCTCCTCTTAGCAGCCGCGCCGCAGACTCGGGCGGAATTCTCGGCGTTCCTTCCGCGTGATCGTACGACGAGTCCCCGGCGTAAATATTAACCGCGCTCGCGTGCGGCTACGAACGCGCGTAATGGGACGCGTATTATTAGACGCGCTCAAGCCCCCGGGCTTATTGGATAATAAAAGGCGTATCTTCGAGAATGTCGCCGGGGGAACGTTGTCACGCTCGTTGTGACACTCCCCCGCATTCCCGGAAGTGTGCCAGGCAATCCGATTTACCGCGACCGATGAGTTACACGGCTCGGCTTAATTTGCTTTCCAACCGTGCACCGATAGGTGATCGGAGCTATCGCACGGTATCTCGTCGTAAACTTCCTGTCATTGTGCGACACTGACGGAACTTCGTCGGTGTATTGAACATTTCCCGAATTAAAATCACCACTGAGGCGAAATTCGGCCGGAATTGATCGACACGAGAATGGTTTTCTTATTTATCAGCAGTCTTAAAGTTTAGTCAACGAAAGTGTATCGCTTATATACCAAATGTCTGCTTCGACGTTTTTTTTTATTAAAGAGGAGTTGTATCGATGCGAAAGGTTCTATTATATATTCCAAGTGGGGTGATAACGGAAAGTAAGAGACGCGGATCGAGTGCTTTCGGAAGGGTACACCGAGATCAAAGGAATTACGCGGCTGTTCGCAGATAGCAGTGGTCTGGCGAGCGACGTCGATGAGGGCGCCGGGAATTTTGGGTTGGGACCGCGAGGACGAGTTCATGGACTGGCGGGACCTGACGAGCAAGGGTCAGTCGAGCTCGTCGGGCGCTGCGAGCACGAGCCTCGGCGGATCTCAGTCCTCGGCCGGGATGAAGGCGGCTCGGCCGCGCCGGAGGTCGCGCGAAGAGGCGCGTCCGAGGACGCGCGAGACCAGCAGGAGCAACGCCGAGCATCGCCGCGAGGAGACCCGGTCGATCGACAGGCTGGAGCGCGAGGATCGGACGATCGACCGCGAAGCCGGCCATCACACCGCCACGGTGATGAAGTCGCGCTCCGCGTCCAGCGTAGACGCCTGGAAGGAGGAGCTCGACGGCGACCTCGAGCGCGGCCCGAGTCGCAGGGCGCACCACCCCAGGAACTCCTCTAGTCCGACCGGCGACGAGAGCCGCGCCAAAGTGAAGCGTTGCGCCAAGGTGGTCTCCACCATCACCATGGAGAAGTGGAAGGAGAGCAGCAGGTGCGAGACGCGCAGCAGGTCGGTCGCACCGGAGGACCTGAAGAGCCCGTTGCTCTTCGAGGAGAGTGTGCTGCGGCAGAACGACAGCGCCGCGAAGGAACTCGAGGACAGGCTGCGCAACGCGGGCGGCCCGGACGACGTCAGCGACGAGGATCTGCCGGCGTACATTGGCAATCTGCTCGTCACCGTCGAGAGAAAGATCGAGAGGGTCTCGCTCGACGACATGACGTTCCCCTGCCCGGCTTGCAGGAACATCGACACGGACGATCCGCTGTTGGGCTGCAGATGCGCCGGCGACGACTGCGGCTGCGGCGCCGGCGAGGACAACTGCGACTGTGCCTCCGTGACGGTCTCGCGGAAGGAACAGTCCGCGAAGAGCTTCGAGGTCGCCGGAATCAAACATATCGACAGCGACGACGAGGAGGAAGTACGGATGGGATTCGGTGAGTAACCTGCCGATCACTTTCGATCTCCGCTTCTCGCATGCCTCGCGTAGAATAACGAGAAAAATCGGTAACCGCGCGGAGAAATAATCGGCTTTTTCAATTCAGGCAATTTCAAGTAGACACTTTCGATTTGGCTTCTTTTCCAATTGGGTGACTTGGGACAACGTTCGGCTTTTAAACTATCTAATTGGAAAATTCGGGAACACATACCTTCTATGAGTAATCCTTATATTGATTATGTTATAATTACGGCCAAATTATGATAGAATTACTGCGGAAAACCGAAATATTTACAACACGAGTGATAAAAAGAAAATAGAATGCCTTCAGAATTAACGAAACAGTGCATGTGTGTGTGAGTGTGTGTACTGTAGAAGAAAAATATATTTGGTATTTGTACAACTATAGTACTATAACTATGCATTATATTAAAAAAGTTGTAGTCAAGACAAGCATTTTTCCAGTAAGCATTAAATGTCAGTGGTGATAATCTTACATGCGTACTTGCTACTACTATTTTTACGGTTAAAATAAAAGAAAAGGGTATAGTTGGGGCCGAAGATAACTATAATTTCTCTCAGTACGAGTAGGACGATTCTCTGTGTCGGGATATTATCCTAACAGACGCAGTATAAAATATTTATTGTGAGTGGTCTTGCAACGCGCCGTGCTTCCCCCCCGCACTTTACGAGCGCTACTGGTTTATGTGAAATTTGAGGTCGCGGCACACGACACCTCGAGTTTCGCTTTCGGAATTCGCGACCGTCTCTACTCGCGCCACGCTTTGAAAAAGCTCGCGAATGACTTTCGCACCGACACGCACACACAGAGCCACGGCCGACGGGCGCTCTTGTGCGGGCGCACACGCGCGCGTGATATACCGACGACTAAACTCACGCAACACGCCGAACTTGAAATTCTGGTCGAAGTACGGCGTGGGCGGCGGGCTGCGTGTACCTTGTAAAGTAGCTACTTCACGTCACGCCGGCCATTGAAAAATTCGAACGCCGCCTGTGCACCGAATCGCGACGCGCCTCCCACCGCGCGCGCGTCTCTGCAGCCGTGCGGAAAAATCGCCACGTCGAAGGAGAGAGAGAGAGAGAGGCCGCGGTGAATAGGGGAGGAAGTGCTGCGTTTGTTCTCCTGCGACAAAGCTATTTTTCGATGCACTCTCTCACTCGAATACGCGCGAGAGAGGTCTGAGACCGCGATTATACACGACAATGTTTACTCGTTTACTGAAAGAAAGTGCTACCGTTCAAGATCAATACTTGATCCAAGTAAAAGGGTTACTCCGATACTCCTTGGCAAATGTTTACTAGCGATAGAAATATAATTGTTTTAAATAGAATATAGAACATTTTACATTTGCGTTCAGTTTTACATTTACAAATTAATTCATTATCGCGTTAAAGTAAGTATTTATTATAAACAATGAGATATACATAAATTGATAAAAATACTACTTGATTTAGGAGGCTGAAAAGCAGATAATTACGTTTACTTGATTCTAACATTGTTTTCTGTACGCGCAAAAAAAGAAGGAAAAATCGAGCAAAGTCTCGCTCGTGTGCGATCGAGCTTTCCTCGATCGTCCAAATTGATTCGAATTCGCCGTATCTCGCTTAGAAATTCCCTCTTTCTCTCTATTTCAAATAACAATGATTAATGATCTTTTGCAAATATTTGTGCTACTTCGCTTCGAGATCACGTCAGAATCAGGCTGAAGTCAAACGTTTCGACCTCTCGGCGAATCGTCGATATTTCGTCGCGCATCTCTCTCTCGGCATTGTAAATTTTCAAGTCATGTGTCACAATCCCGCTTTAATCCGTCGCCTCGGGGGCATCGTTAACGAGCGATGACTCGCGTCGGCGACGCGGGCGTAATTGTAACGGACGAGTATGCAAATTGTCGGCGCGTTCGCTTGTCACTCGATCTTTCGCCGCGGAACTCGCCAAACGAATCACTCGTGGATACAGGCCCGGCCGGGCCGGACTTTAAAGTCTCGCGACTCTCGCCGGCCGATCTCTTTTCGCGTCCTCCCACGCTCGTCTCGCGGTGCGCCTCTTTGGCAACCGCCGCCGCCGCCGCCGACAGGTTTGCAAAGTCAAGAGCCTTTATTCGAGACGTCGCCACGTCGGCAGCGTCGACGCGAGAGTGACTTACGGCATTCGTCGTCCGTTTCGTGACGCTTTTTTCCACGCGGCACACCGCGTAATTTCTGTGTCGTCCCACATCGTCGAATTTTTGCTCGCGTTAAGTACGATTACGTTGTCGTCGCCGTCCACGTCGTGGAAGCGATTCATGCTCGAAACGCTCGATCGTCGTAATGATCGATATTTTTTTTTTATCTCGCTACTTTCTACGACCGGAGATCGGCGGGTGGTTGCCAACTATTACGGCCGGCTCGCCGCAATTGGCAGCAACCTCGGTGTATGTATACTCGGAGGTTTCTCGACGTTTCCTGCGCCGGCCGGCGGCGTCCGACGTGTGTCGGCGGTGTTTGTGTTTGCGGAGCGAGAGGCGAGCGACCTGCTCCGAGACAGTGAATGAACGGAGTAACGAACTCGTCAATGAGTATTCGTGCTAATGAGATACGGCAACGAATCGGCGATTTTTCTGCAGCGCTGACGGCAGAAAAACAGTCGGACAAAGAACGCTCGCGCGCCTCAAATCGAATTACGACGACGAGCCTCGACTCATCTGAAATCAACACGTACGAGTGATATTTCTCGGCGAACGATTGCGATAGATGTTCCTTGGTTTTTCAACTTTTTACTCTCTTGTGAAAGTAAATTGACGAAGTAAGGGAATATGAAAAAAATTGGATTCAAACAGATTGTCGTAGTCTACTCAGACGGGAATATTTTCTCAGCCAAAGGGTGTAGATAATCATTTCCCACATGCGTAGATTTTCTTACGTACAGCATACACACAGAAAAATAAATTTTCCATTCAAATAAATTCTTGCTTCAAATATCTCATAAGTTTATATATCCGCAAAGATATCGTAAGTTCATTGTGAGCATAAAATTTATTTAAAATTTATTCTGAATTCTAATGAGTTTTCTAGAAGCTACTATTTAAGAAAAGGAAAATAAACTGAATAATAGCTTTTCTTAGTCGTAAAACGATATTTTTCCTCGTGTAAATTTCGCTTAAAATACCCAAATTTGTCCTAAAATAGGTTATCTCATTACACTTTTGTTAACCAGAGAACCTGCGAAGATTTTCCAACTAAAATCCACAGTTATTTTCAGTAATCTGACCCAATCTGAATTAGATCCCGAGAAACTTTCTCTGCGAGTTACAGTGAAATAACGAATTTCTCGTGTACCCTCTTGAAAGAGACGTCTGATTTAATTACTCGCGAGAGATTGATTTCGTCATGTTCACGCTGCAAAGAAAAACAAATTCTTGCCGTGTCGCTGAGCGAGTTAAGACAGCTATCGCTAGCGCGTGCTATCGGTGTCGTCGATAATTCTACCCGTACTTCCATCCGCATTTTGGCGTCCGGCGGTCAAGTGCGCAGAACCGGTCGTTACTCTCGCCGGAACGTCCGTGCTGCCGTCATCGTGCCGTAACCGGCGCGGTTACGCCCGTGGCGCACCACGCCATGCGATCGGACATGACTTTGCGCCGGTTGTCGTGTTTCATTAGCACGTGGATATCTCATTGACGGCGGCTCGCCCGTCGTCGGCGACTCACTCGTTTTCACGCGGGCTCGTCGCCGCGGCGGCGAGACATAAACGCCACCGCCCACTCGCGAGGGTGATATCGCGACGGGAGGATTACTGCCGGCAATGAGTTACGTCGGCGTTACGACGTGCGGGAGCGTGAGACGCGTTCGATTTAGCTTGTTTCAATTTGAAAATCAAATTTTATATAATCGACCGAGCAGTAACCTCCTATGCGAATTTTTATTCTTCCTAGAAACGAGTTTTCATCTTTACACTGTTGATCCTGCGTTGCCAAAATCGGAGGTGCGCGTTGAAATAAAAACCCTTATTATTATACGCAATTACGAGGGACATTTTGACGTTAGCACCTTGAATTCGGGAGTTAATATCTCGAATCTGGAGGTATCGCGCGATAGTAGGCAACGGGAAATTCAGTTGCGCCAACGGAATTATTGTTTTTTCCGCGTGCCAGGAAAATCGTACGATTTTCTGCGTGCGTTTCGCCGACCGCGCAATTCGACGCGTGACAGATCTCCGCGAATATTTCGTCGCTCAATTGAGCGTCCGGTTAGCCTTGCCCCTCGTCCTCGATTGAGACCGAGAGATTCGCGGAAATTCCTTCAGACACGCCGCGCGAAAGAGCCCGGCTAGCCTCACTCCCGCAAGAACCGATCTCGTATCGCCTCGTATCGCCGGTTAATTCCCAGACGGCCGGCAAGACACGAGGAGGAAGAATGCGGCGAGCTACGCTAGCATTGCCGCGACCGACCGAAGAAAATCATCAACCTGGACTTTAACAGCGGCAATAACCGCAACGCATACCTCGTGTATCTGCTGGAAGGAGCGAGGGGGACGAGCCGCAAGGTGATTCATGGCTTCCAGCCTTAACACTAGGCCCTTTCTCGCTACTCACGATGCCTAATTCACTCACGGTTTTTCTTAAAACCATCATTTAATATTTTAAATAGTGTTTCATAACAAATTGCAAGAAAAGTGTCGTCGTGTTACCGTAATCTTTTTCGTTCATTTATCGCATAATCGCACTAAGAGAAATTATAGTTGTTGTTTTAGCCTTAACTGCCTTTCTTCATGTTTTCAAGTATCACGGAAAATGTTGTAATAAAAATTACCATAAAATTTGTAATGCTGGACCATACCAGAATTATAACTAGAATTATGACGTGTCTTGGAATCTTTAGTGATGTGTATCATGTGTATGCATCACTAAACAATTTGTTACAACACATGTGATAATTTCAGTGATAATTCCGATGCAATCCAGCATTACCAAGTTTTGTAGTAATTTTTACTATAAT